GCTCCCCCTTCGGGCCCCGTTGTCCCCTCGGCCCCCCCCGCCCACCTGTCCCTTTTCCTTCCTCCAGCCCAGGACTGCTCCCTCAGTGTGCTACATCTGCTTCCCCTTCCCCCTCAGCAGCCCGAGGCTGCTCTCCTCAGTGTGCCCCCATCTCACACAAACACCTAGCTTGCGACTGCCCCATCTCCTTTTCTGCCCTTCCCACCCAAGGCGCGTTGTCCGCCCTTCACCCCGGTGTGCCCTGGGCCCTCACCCCCAGCCTGGGACTGCCCCCTTCCTCCCCGACACCGTGGGCTGCTCTACCTCCTGGTGTGCTCCATCTACATGCACACAGCCTCATCTCCCATTCCTCTTCCTACACACACCTGTGTCTGCCCCAGGCTCTTGGACCAGCCCCAAGCCCTGTGCTCCCACAAATAGCTCATGCTTGGTTGGTGGGAGGATGGCGCAGTCTTGGGACCCTTCACCCACCCAGCCTGTGCGGTCTTTTGTGTCCTTGCTCCTGACTCTGCTGCTCTCCACAGTGTCCCGCCTGCACTGTGAGAGCGAGTCCTTCAAGATGGACCTCATCCTGGACGTGAACATCCAGATCTACCCTGTGGACCTCGGTGAGCTCTCGGGCTGCTAGCACAGAATGCGCCGGGAGTGAGCTGGTGTCAGCCCGGGGTGGGGGAAGGCACGCACTGGTGCATAGAGGAGCAAGGTTGATCTCAGGCTTTCCTAGGCCCCTCTGCTGTCCCCAGATCAGAGAAGGTGAGTGGTGCTGGGCACTTTTGCTCTGCTGGCGTGACCTGGATTCTGTCTCACCTCACTATGATATTCATTTGGGTTCTGTTGTGCCCTGTTCCCCATATACGCTCTGCGGTGAAATTGCATCGGTTGCTAGGGACTAAGCCTTAAAGAGAACTTCTGAGATGAGTTCCTGTGGTTGAAGACAGAGTCTTGCCATAGTGAGGAAGGCTGGAGTTAGTGCTATAGGGTCTCAGGTACTTGTCCAGAGCTCAGCCTCACCCTCTGGGACACTGTATGGAGATCTGTTGTTACGTCCAGTGAAAATGTCATCTGTGGTACCCGTGTGGCTCTGGTCTCCTCCGTGGTGGTGATGCACGACTGGGGAACTGGAGGAGACAAAGGGCCTGGTATGATCTTTCCTCGCTCCCCACAATCCTCTTGGAGGCCTGAACACAGGGGTGGGGCTTGTGCCAAACCCTCTGGAGCAGTCCTTTGCCTTTACCTACTCAGATCTGCTATAGATGTCCCAAAAGCCAGGCTGAAAGGTCACAAGGAACCTGGAACCAGTCTCAGATGGAGAGAGGGGGGAAACGGGGGAGGGATCATGCTGAGCTCTTCTCACTGCCTGGGAGGGTGCTGCTTGGCATCTCTCACTCTGGGCCTCGTGGAGGGCAGGCCCTTGTGCTGTTGCACGTTGAGATGTGTGTTCCTGGTGTCGAGAGCGGTGCCCTTGGGTGAACAATGGAGGATCTCATGAGAAGTGCTCTGTGCCCAGCTCCCATACTCCAGCTCGTGCCTGCTGTATGGAGCTGGGACTGGCTTGCTCACCTGTATGTAGCCTGCATCATGTGGTACTTGCAATGAGTAGCTTGTGGCACTGCCAGCTTTGCCCCATGAGCCTGATGCTGATCTGGCTGCGCCCACCCACGTTCTCACGGCTCCTGTGCCCTCTTATCCCAGGAGACAAATTCCGCCTGGTCATTGCCAGCACCTTGTACGAAGACGGCACCCTGGATGACGGGGAGTATAACCCCACAGACGATAGACCTTCCAGGTACCAGGGATCCAGTTGGCGTGGGTGGGTGGCACAAGCTGTGCCTGCTGGGATCCACAGAGCAGCCAGGTGGTGGCGAGGAAAGAGCTTAAATGCCGAGAGGCTGTGTGGTACCTTCTCCCAAAGGGTGCTTGGATGGGGGATGCCAGGAAAAGGGAAGTATGCAGCTTTGATTCTTCTCTGAGCTCCCGTTGTCCCATTGCAGGGCAGACCAGTTTGAGTACGTGATGTACGGCAAGGTGTACAGGATCGAAGGGGATGAAACGTCCACAGAGGCAGCCACACGCCTGTGAGTGTCTGTCCCCAGAGGGGGAGCAGTGCCCCAGGGTAGTAGGGGAGGCACAGGGATGTCAGACAGGATCTCCTGTGGGTTTCCCCCGTCTCACTAATCCTCTCCTCCTGCCCCAGCTCTGCCTACGTGTCCTATGGGGGGCTGCTCATGCGGCTGCAGGGAGATGCAAACAATCTGCATGGGTTTGAAGTGGACTCCAGGGTTTACCTGCTGATGAAGAAGCTGGCCTTCTAGAGGAGGATGCATCTATCTTGCCTCCATGGACTGTCCCAGAGACATTTTGCTGGCAAGTAAACAGGATGCCTGTGACCCTGCATCCATGCTCCCTGGCCTCTCTGGTGCTGGTGGAGGAGGGGGATGGTCCCCCCTTGTCTTTTCTGACTCTTGCCAGGATTTGCAACCCCCTTCTACGCGGAGAGAGGTGCCTGACAGCCAAGCAGGGGCCATGCCGGGTGCTCTGCAGTCCTGTCAGGTGGTAGTCTCTTCTGACCTCCTGTCTTTCTGTACTTCAAAATCAGGCTCAGCCCCAGCCCTAGTCAGGGGCAGCTGGACTGAGACAGCCACCTGTCTGCATTGGGGCTGGGAACCTTATCTGAGGAGCCATCCTGAGACAGGCCTGGGTTGTTCTTGATTAAAGTGTTTGGGATGTGTTTTCTAGATCTGACTCTGTTGCCTGAGAGGTGAGGCTGGCTGGGAGCACTTACGCCTTTGTAGGGGGCAAGACGGGCCTGCATCACCTCGCCGAAGGGCAGGCAGCATGGGCGCTGGCTGCACAGGTCGTGGAGGATGTTCTGCAGGTGGGCAGCAGTGTGGCTGGGCATCGGAGGTAGCTGTGGCACCAGCTTTTGAGCTACAGCTCCTGCAGGTGGGACGGGGGCTCAGCCTGGGCAGACAGGTGCTGTGTGTCCCCAAACCTGCCCCGGGCTCTTCCCTGTGACCCCCGCTGGGCTTGACACACACGTGGATTGTGCAGACGAACGGAGGGATGAGGGGTTGACCAGCGCTGCTCAGTGGGAGCTCGCATCCCCACGTGAGGGAGTGGAGGCGCGTGAAGAGCACAGCACAGCGGGAGCTGCTCTGCCCTGCAGATCTCGCAGCTGCCGCGGGAGGGAGCTGGGCACCGGGGAGAGACCCTGGAGCACGTTCCCCAGGGACTTGCCTCTTACCGAGGCTCCTGGGACTGCGAGGTCCACTGGCAAGGCCACAGTGAGAGGGGGAAGGGAGAACACAAACAGCCCTGTAGAAAAATAGCTCTTTAATTGTAACGTCTTCACAGTAGAGCTGCCCACCTGGGTGGGAGCAGGGCCTGTGCCCAGTGGTGCACAGGTATTGCTGTTGGGTCAGCCTCCACGGGCTGTGTGGTAGCCAAAGGCTTGTGGCTTTCCCTGTGGGCACGTTCCAACACGGCCCAGTGTCCTCCAGGTTTACTCTGCCCTCGGGTCAGCAGTGAGCCCTGTGTGCAGAGCCTCACCAGGCCCTGGGTGGAGGATCTCTGCCACCTCCCTGGCTTTGCTCACATGAGTCCTTGGCCAGGTCGTGGAAGAAGAAGCGCAGTTTCCCCTGCACCAGCTGCCGGTAGGTGAGGAAGATCTCAGTGATGCGTGTCCGCTCCATGGAGCGTGGGGAGCAGCCTGGCTCCTGAGGTCCTGCCTTGATGGGGGAGAGCACAACAGGGGGTCACAAATGCTGTGGTGCCCAACCCAGTGTGGTGGGCACCTGTGTCAAGGGTGCTCTGGCTCAGGTGGGGGACAGGGAGGCCTCACCTCCCAGCTGAAGGTCTGCAGGAGCAGGAGGAAAGAGTTGGCGTGTCTGTAAAGCTGGCTCAGCTGTCTGCCTGTGCACTCCTGGGTCACCTGGCTCTGGGCCCCTGTCACAGCACCCACCAGCAGCGCCAGGTCGCACAGGATCTCCTGCCGCTTGGTCTCGTTCTGGGGAGAGAGAGCAGACAGTGAGTGCGCACAGGACTGCGAGCCCGCTTTATTCCCATGCTTGCACTAGGTAAGGATGGGAGTCCTCCACCCCAAGCCCGTGTGATGACCTGGTAGCATCAGATGTGCTGCAGGCATCCTGTGGCTGTTCAGTGTCTGGGGTTTGTGTCCCTGTGTACACCCTGCGGCTCCTTCCCCGTCCCCGTGGGCATCCCACAGCCGCACCATCCTCCCAGCCCTCTCACCGTCTTGGTTTTCCACTGCTTGAGGCTGAAGTCCACCAAGGGCAGCACCATGGGGTAGCTGAGTGGGGACAGCGCCTGGCACTGGCTCTGGAGGGGAGATGCTGCAGTGAGATACCTGGAGCTGTGCCTGACCCTGCCTTGCCCGCCCAGCCTACTGGGGAGGGAGGGGGAGCAGCATATCCTCACCACTTTCTTCTCCATGTCCTTTGCCTCCCCGATGTACTTCTGGATGAGTCTGGTGTCGCAGACCAGCCGTGTTGGGCTGGCACGGCCTGCTTTCATGTGCAGGAGGAAAGACGTGAGGAGGAGCAGTCCTGGGGGGAGAGAGGTTACCTGTGGGCACTGCGCTGCCCTCCCTAGGCAGCTGCAGCTCATGGTGATGCTTTCAAGTGGCAAGTGCTCACCCCAGTCTGGTGGTGACGTGGATGGCCCACCCTGGCAGCCCCAAGAACCGCGTTTAAAATGAAGCGGCCCACAGATCAAGCAGTTGGTGCTGAGCACTTCACCCAGCCCAGGACTGATCCCTGGGCTCAGGGGAAGATGCTGGGGGAAAAGGGGAGCTGAGGAGGGCCTGGTGCTGCTGTGCAGTTTGATGCTATGTCACAGCAAGGAGGGAGAGGTGTCCTGCCTTCCTCCCAATTCAACCAGTGAGCTGAATCTCTCTAGAGGCTCTGCCTGTTGGGAGCAGAGCCAGGAGGTACCTTGGTGCCTGGAAAGGCAGGTGGTGCGTGGCAAGGGCCACATACTGCTGTGTCTGTGCCAGGTTTCCACCTCTGCTCCAGCCCTGGGAAGCAGACGTGTTCCCTGCGCAGGCCCTGGGCCATGCCCTCCCACCTCCGATAAGGGGTGTTTGCGCCTGGAGCAGCTCCAGGTGTCACGTGTACGGGAAATCCCTGCCTGCAGCGCACGTCTGCTCCTCGGGGCTGCTGTGGCTGTGGGCTGGCCTGTCGGGCACAGCCTTTCCCAGCACCAGCAGGATGCCGCTCCCCTGGGCACCCTTGGGCTGGGTGGCTGCTGTGCCCTGTAACTGCCCACCCTGCTGGCTGGCATCTCCTCTCCAAAGGCTGCTCTTGCATCTGCCTGCATCCATGCTTCCCTAAAGCCCTTGGCACAGCCAGGTGTTGACAGCTATTTCCCAAGGGCAGGCATGGAGAGATGCTCGGGTACCCTTGTGAGCTGGCAGGGGTTGGATCCTGCCCAGCAAGAGCCATACTTGGGATTTGCTGCCAAAGCGTGGAGCAAGGGGTGTTCTCATCTCTTGGGGTGCCCACGCCCGGGCAAACTGCGTAGCACTGTGTGCGTGGTGCCTGCTGCCGAAGCAATGCCCCTTCCTCCTCAAGGGCAGGCATGGAGAGATGCTCGGGTACCCTTGTGAGCTGGCAGGGGTTGGATCCTGCCCAGCAAGAGCCATACTTGGGATTTGCTGCCAAAGCGTGGAGCAAGGGGTGTTCTCATCTCTTGGGGTGCCCACGCCCGGGCAAACTGCGTAGCACTGTGTGCGTGGTGCCTGCTGCCGAAGCAATGCCCCTTCCTCCTCGCTCCCGTCCCCCCTTTCAGCCCCACACTCACTGTTCAGCTCCATGCTCAGCTGGGGGCTTCGGCCCTGCATTTTCCACCCTGGGGCCAGCGGCTGCTCCCCGGCTCCCGTCCCCCTTCCATGGAGGGTGGCTGTGGCGCGGGCTCCCCCGGCGCGGCTCTCCGGCTCCGGCCCCGCCAAGGCAGCGCGATTTGCTGTTGTGTCGCTGCTGACCTTCTAGGAAAAGCACTCCAGGGGCCCAGGGGACGGCTTCCTGCCTCCGGCCGTTTCCTCCCTTGGCCCGGGGCATGGGAAGGATGTCCACGGTCACCCTCCTGGGCCGCTCACCTGCCCCCTGGCCTGTGCCTGATCCTTTTGTGGCTGGGCTGGGCGCAGGGTCAGGGGCCTGGCAAGCTGTGACCACCTAGGTGGCTGGCCGCTCGGCTATGTCCACCTTGGGCAAGGAGGTGCCCCTGGTACCTGCAAACGAGATGAGTGGGCTGGGTGTGTTAGAGACCCCCTCCACGAGACCAGCACTTGAGATGGGGCCCTGCTTCCTGGCAAGCACATCCAGGAGGCAGGAGGGTCCCCAAGACCCTCCCCCAGAGATGCGCTCCAACCCCTGTGACCGTCACCCGGAGATTGGTCCCATCCCCAGCAACCTTTACCCAGAGGTAACTAGGAGCGACGAGCACCCCGGAGGGGCTGCAGAGCATGGAAGTCCCGTCAGAGCTGGGGAGGGGGATAGGGCACAGGGCACTGGGCCCTGGCTGGGAAGTGGCCCCCGGGGCTGCTTCTCCAGTAGTAACAGTTGGCGGGGGGCTGAGTGAAAACACCCACAGACACCCCTTCCTCAAGGCCGGGAGAGGCACCCTGAGTCTGCCCAGCACCCAGCCCTGGTGGGGCCATACCCGGCCTGGCGGTGTGCTGCCCACTGCAGGGCACCCCCTGTCCCAGGCCACCTCCTGGGACAAGTGCCCCCCTGGGACACCCGGGGGACCTTCTGGCCTGGGATATGGGGTGCGGGGTAGGCAGGCACAAACATACATATGTGTACATGTACATGTGCACACGTACCCCCATGTACCTTCAGACATATGTGTGCACATGCGCACTCCACACAACACATGTTGGGTAACACCCTTAGATACCCCTCCCCTTACACACACACATACACACACACCGCATTCATAGAGCCCCCCAGCGTACTCCCTCTCCTTTTCAGGACCCCCCAAAACCACATCCCCTCCCTCCAGCTTACCGGT